GAGCCTCCTGAACATTCTTAGGTATGGATACAAAGGATAACAAGGTAATAAACTCACGATGGGAAGCAAAAAGGTGAGATACAGAAACATAATTGAATATAGGATGTAGTGTGCAACTACGTTTACCTTTCCACACTACAATAGGAAGGTCAAGGTTAGAAGGCAATTCAGTTGTGGAAAGAGCTGGATCAGCCGCCTAAGTAGAAGGTGGTGGAGGTGCTAGCCTCTATCGATGAGTATACATTTGACGAATTGGTGGTCTTTCAGTATGCTCCTGCATTGGGGAAGGTGTAGACTCAGGCATAATGGGAACCATCGGGATAGAATTATCAACTGAAAGAGGAAGAGGAACCTCTGTAGGAGGACAAAGGATATCAAAAGAAGAGAAGTATGGCACCGATTTGAAAAATGTAATATCAGGACACAAAGGATTTTTGAAAAATGTAACATTTAATGGAACGAGCATCCAACTTGTCTAGTCCAGGACCAAGATTCTGAAAAAAGCACACACCCGAAGATCTTGGGAGTCGAAGGATATGGAGACAGTGGGAAACAAGATAGAGAATGGAGAACAACCATTCAGAATAAATGACGGCATGCAATTAATGAGAAAACAAGCAATCAGGACTGCATCACTCCAGGAACGTTTAGGAACATTCATATGATGAAGGAGAGACTGAGTTGTTTCAAGTAGATGCCGGTTCTTCCTCTCAGCCACTCCATTTTGCTGAGGGGTGTAAGCACAAGATGTTTGATGAATAATACCATGTTGTTCCAAGTATTGCTGGAATGAAGAAAGAAAATACTCTCTGCCATTGTCAGGATGAAGAATTTTAAGTGACACCAAATTGTGTACGCACTTCAGCATGAAACTTTTGGAAAATGGAAAATAATTCACTTCTTTCTTTTATTAAATAAAGCCATGTCATTCTTGATCAGTCATCAACAAAGATAACAAAATATTTGTAACCATTATAAGACTCAATTCTGATTGGACCCCACACATCTGAATGAACTAAATTAAAAGGACTCAACATACGACTATCAACTCTAGGACTAAAGGAAACCCAATGGTGTTTCCCATACTGACACGACTCACACTGTAAAGACGACAGACGACTAGATGCCGGAACAAGAAGCTTGAGAGCTTTAAGAGATGGATGGTTGAGTCTACAATGCCACTGAAGAGGAGTCAAAGAGGTTTGAAGTGCAACCGTAGACCCACCACCGTCAAGATAATACAATCCGCCAACTTCATGCCCTCCGCCAATCTTCTTCCCCGTCGTTAGATCCTGAAAAACACAAGAGGAAGGGTCAAATGTGATAGAACAATTGAGGGATTTGGTTAGTTTACTAACAAACATAAGATTGGAAGGAAACTTGGGAATGTATAAAATAGAAGTCAAAGAAAGAGATGCTGTGTTAACATTACCAACACCATAGATGGGGGAAGTAGATCCATTGGCAAGGGTCACATTATTCGATGTAGAGGTTGGAGAAAGGGAGGAAAACACACCTAGAGTCCCGGTCATGTGATCAGAGGCTCCAGAGTCAATTATCCAAGGTGAAGGTTTGGATGCTAGGCAAGCTATACCTAAATGAGCAAGAGTGGCAGTATTCTGATGTGAGGTGGCTTGAACAAATCTCTCATACTCCTCTCTTGGAATACTCATCATCTCTTTCCCAAAAGTAGTGACTGTAGAGGATGCTGGATCAACTGGTTGAATATCACCGACTTTACTACCACCAACAACTGCATGATTAACCCATGTTGATGGTGGGCCATGCAAATCATAGCAGAAGTTAACTGTGTATCCTCTCCCACAATGTGTGCATTTTCTAGTAGTGCTCCCCTTTCCTCTGCCACGACCTCCCCCCGAATCACGACCTCCTCTAGCACCACGACCACCCATAGGGTTACCACAGCCTCCCTTAACTGTACAACCACCTCCTCTGTGTCCATAAGAACCACCTCGAGTGCCAACAAGTGCTGATCTATCGGAAGGTATGTTACACTCTGTGGGGATAAGAGATATTCTACAGAGATGGGCAAACACCTCTTCTAGAGTAGGGAGAGCAGATCCTCCCAATATCTGTGCTCTGACCGGTTCATATTTTGCTTTCAGTCCCACCAAGAACCGAGTAACATCTAGTTGTTGCTAAATCTTAATGTCCGGTGTTAAGGGATGATAGACACTAAGTTCATTCCGAAGATTCTTCATACTGGCGTAATATTCTTCAAGAGTCTGGTTTCCCTACTGCAAATTGAAATATTCCTGATAAAGCTGATAAACCCTTGTGGTGTTGTCTTGTCCATAGTAGAGTTTCTTGGCATGTTCCCATATATCCCTTGTATCTAAAAACATGAAATTAACACTGATTCTAGGCTCCATACTGTTCCACAACCAAGGCATAATTTGAGCATCCTCTTACTCCCAATCACTAAAACCCGGGGATTCAGCACTAGGCTTCTCCTCCCGTACATGTTTCACTTTCTTCTTAGCCTTCAAAAACACCTCCATCGACTTGGCCCACAGAACATAGTTTTCACCATTAAGTTTGATGGAGGTCATCTGGACATTTAGAAAATCAGAGGAAATCATGACACTCGATTTCTGGTCACCACTCGCATCTCCCATCGAAGCCATTTCAGTCTACAAAGTTGGTTGTGCCCGTCACACACAAAAAAACAGTTCCAACCACTGCACTACAGTTCGTTATCCTTGCAAATTCTATTTTTTTTCCTACTAATAAATTTCCCATTATTCATCATAAAAAATCAAAAAGAGCACAAACTACAAAGAACAAAACAAGTATGGAATTCAGACTGATATAACTCATCATAAAAGCAAGAGAAGTCACCTGAAGCCAGCGGGGAAATCCATAGGAGCCTCTTACACGATGATCAGATGCTACACCATCCTCTATAACGGCCTCACCTTCACAAATAATTTCAAACAAAGCTCTGTCTTTACCAGATTTGTTGGTGATTCTTAGAATGGAAGTGTCCTGGTTTTGAAGGATTATGGTGTTCGTGCTAACAATGGTCTCAGGAACATCACATAAGTCTTCAAGCAAGGACCTAATTTTCTCATTAGATCTGATGACATCTCCAAACTCTTCTCTCTTTATTGACTCATCTATCCGAGCAATATCAACACTAAGAATGCAACGAACAGGTTTGTGATCACTGTCTGTGACATCCATGCACGCCTCATACCTGATATAAAGGATATGCCAATTCTCAAAACATAAGAAGATGAAAATCATTGACCAGAAAAGGAAAAACTTACTGTGAAATTGAAGAAACTACAGGGCACCCTAAATTGCATTCAGATGCTGAAGATGACCGACTATCACGATATAATACCCTGTCACACCAGGCAGGGATGCGTTTCTTCTCACTGGAGTCGTATCCTAGAAAATTATAGCACGAGTTACATTTTAAAACCAAATAAAAAATAAACTGGGAACACAAGATAAACTCAAATGCACTGCTTCATTGGCACATCTGGCTTAATTATTATTAACCATAAAGAATCACCAAGACAGAAAAGGACACTTTGTGAAGCTTACCTGCTAAACCTGCTTGGTGCCTTTCAAACTTGTATGTGGGAGGAAATGTTATGACCCCTTCACGCATCCCTTGGAAAACTTTCCCAGCCTTCATTTCTGCTCTAAGTTGATCCCTTTCTCTAAGCCAATCAAAGCACCTTTGAGAAACAAAGTCCCTTGCTTCATCATAAGAAATGCCATGAAGCCGATAATTGAAATCACCAAGAAATATAACCATGTCTGCTTCAGACAACTCAGGCTTCCCATCTTCTTGAACTGCCTGTAAGATCAACGTTACCTTTAACTCTAACCAGGAAAAAAAAGTAGCCAAAAGAGAGTGAACATAAAGATTTGATTTCCGCAAGACCAATTAAAGAGTATACATACATTTGCACTACGAAGAACCTGAATGGTAGATGAGGCACCAGCTGCAATAGAGGATCAATAGCAAGCTAGAAGAATAAAGCAGCCAAAACAAATATGCAAAGCTGGCAAAAGAGCAAAACAATAACAGGTTTGGCACCATACCAGAAGCAGGATTAAGCTGGTTAGATGGACGGCTGAAGATCATTGTTCTATATACATGATCAAAATCAGCATTACGGCGATTGACTGCTTCCATGTGTGCAGCAAAGTGACAGCACACAAAACAAATTATCCGATCGTATACTCTCATCCGCAAGCCTACAGCTCCCTGCTTAAAACAATTCTTACTCAAATCACCCATATAAATGAAATATGGGAGAGTAGAACAAATTTACAATATAAACCAGAACAAAATTTACATAATATCTTCACCATACAAAGTAGGAATTAAAGCCAAATTTTCTTACACCTTTATTTTGTGAGTGGTGGTGGGGGTGAAGGCACCATTTGTAATGGTAAAATCTTGGAATGGCAAGCATGAGGGCATGGGGTTCAAGTCTGAGGGCGGGCACTTTGTGTGAAAGAATGCAATAGGTTGGGACCATAACCAGTCTACCCCTCCCAAGACCCCAGATAGGTTGGACCAACATTGGGTAATGGTTTTTTCTAATGGAACATTTGTTATTGGATGAAGCGTCTGAATTGAATGGCTTGATTTTGTCTTTCAGTAATTAATTGAGGTTGTGATTTCATTAATAGATGAAGCTCAAGATGGATTGATTACTATATCCTCAAATACTTGTATGTGATAAAATAAACATAAACTTGAATCTGTTATAATATCAAAGATTGAAAGGGAAGTTGATCAAGAGAAAAGAAGAATAGAGGAGAAAAGGGGGGAAGAGAAGAAGATTATTGAAGAAACTGGGGGTCATGAACAGAACTGAACATGAACAGAACCAATAATAGAAATATAATGGCCCTCTATTCAGGTCTTATAGCTTACAGAAACTCAACAAGGGCAGAATTCATGACAGTTCTACAAGGACTATGAATTGGGTGGAATCTCAGGTATAGGAGTGTTGTGGTGGAAAGAGACTCGAAGGTAATGATGAGTTGGCTTAACAATAGCAATATAGGAACCTGAAGATACAGATATTTGGTGAGAGAAATCAAAGAATCAGCTGCAGCAATGAATAAAATAATCAGGCAGATGGCAAGGAGTGTTAACAGTATGGCTAACACACGGACCAGACAGCAAGCCAATATGGCTAAATCTGTTTGAACATTACCAATTCTTTATATTGGTTAATAACATTTTAACTTTATCAATCAAAAAAAAAAAAAAACACCAATATAATAAAATAAGATATCTCAATACTCCCTTTCAAGCTGAGCAAGATATCAACCATGGCACAATTGCCTTTTATTTTCTTTTTGCTTTTTCGGAAAAGGCAAAGTATTTTATTATGGAAAACACAAAAATACAACAAGCCCAATAAACGAAGGCACAGTACATCAGACAATACGTACTAGCAACATTAGTACAACTTCCACTATTAATAATCATAGTACATACCTTATCCTTCACATGGCATATTGTGTGAAAAATATGCTCACGTTGCTCCTCATCACCATCATCCTTAGGCTGTATACTTAGGGCTCTCCTTGTAACCAGCAAATCACCATGCATGGGTTCTGCAACTTCAACATCAAAACAATCCTCCAATGGTGGCATCTCACCCTCACTTGAGCTAGCACATTTTGTTTCTCCATTATCCAACACAATCATAACTCTTTTGTTTGGGCATTGAGAAGCAATATGCCCGAATCCTTGGCACCTAAAACACTTAACATCACGTGACTTATAAGAAGTTTTAGTTTCGGTTTTACCTTTATGAACAGTAGCCAAAATCCTTTTGCTTTGCTTCCTCTTTTGTTTTTGAGGCAGCTTTGTTGTCCTTCCAATTAG